GGGGGGTCTCGTGGGTAATGGGCTCGATGACCACTCAGTCAAACTTCATGCACTACCGGTGGAGGGCGAGTATGTAGTGATGGAGTGGAGATGGAGGGTGAGGTGGGCGTGGGCGTGGGCGTGGTGGTGGTGGTGGTGATGGTGGTAGTGGTAGTGGTGGTGGTGGTGGTGGTGGTGGTGGTGGTGGTGGTGGTGGTGGCGATGATAGTGGTGATAGTAGGTAGTGATAGCTCGGTCGTTGCCGTTGAAGCTCTCTGCTAACCACCTGGTGAAGCTAGCCCAGACGTAGAACTTAGTAGGCGGATGGATGGAGACTGTATGCATCCGCTGGTGACGTTGAGCCCGGCAGCGCCAACGTCATGGGAGCCAATGGAAGTAAGCGCTTCTCTGCGGAGTGGCTTCAACAACTTGAACTGTTTACAGAACACGAGATACGAAGGCTTTTCTCTCATCATTCACATACATTCATACCCTACTACTCTCTCTGCTTCCGGGCTGACAGCGAATGTTGGATCATTTGTGCCTGCTGACGATCCGCCATCCGGACTGTTTACAGAGTGTGCCTGGTAGCGACCCCCGGTCAGCTGATGTTGCACTGCCTGTCTCTTAATATTGCTCCTTCAGGCCCCGGTGGCGCTGTGGCATCGTGCCATCGTGACCGCGTCGTTGCGAGAACGAACGAGTCATAACTCATCATCTTCCCGTCTGACTACAGGTCCGCCCAGACACCAACAACAATGGCGAGCTTGGCTACTCATTCGGCGATGGACGCCTTTCTCGCCGAGCTTGGGGACGAGATACAAGATGTTGATGAAGGTGAGCATGTGGACTCGTAGCAGATGGTTGGGGCGCAATTGCAGCGTGCGATAACTGGTAAGTCAGAAACTTTCGACCTCTTCTCTCAGAGTGCTTCGATGGAAGACCTTGGCATGCTGGACCCCAAGAAAGCTGTCCTGGAGGTGACGATAGCGGGACGTGATTTTGAGATCACACAGTCGCCTGGTATGCTGCAATCGCAACGTGGAGGAGGGACTACAGGCGCTGCTGTTTGGCAGTCCATTGTACGTTTCGCCGAATGGTTGGAGTTATCAAGCAACCCGCTGTTTCGTCTCGGCCTACTGGATGCCACCTCCGTTGTGTTAGAGCTCGGAGCTGGCGTCTCTGGCATTCTGCCTTGTATACTGAGCAAGAGGGTGCACAAGGTCGTCTCGACTGATCAGGCGTATACGCTGAAAGCACTACAGAACAATATCTCCACAAATCTACGCGAAACCCGGGTTTCAGCCAAAGTAAAAACTAGTCTACCTGCCATCGAGGTTCTCCCGCTGGATTGGGAGACAGATGATGCCCTCAGCTTTCTGCGCTCCGCTGGTCTGGACTCAGGAGTCCATATGATCGTGGCCTGCGATTGCATCTACAACTATGCTCTCCTTGCCCCATTCGTACAGACATGCGCAGACTTGTGCCGAGCTCGCTGTCATCCGAGCAATACGAATGAAGATCCCAAAGCGGCGACTTTGTGCGTTATTGTACAACAACTTCGACAATCAGAAGTTTTCGACCAGTGGCTTGCCATCTTCCGCCAACGTTTCCGAGTCTGGAGAGTGCCCAGCAACCTGCTCTCGAGAGGCTTGCAGGAAGGTAGCGGGTTTGCAGTCCACGTCGGCATCGTCCGGCAGGACTCTTGACATAAATCCACTGCTGCAAAGAACGACCAGCGTTTGTTTGGACGAGTCCAGCTCTCGCGCGCCCTTTCTCCGCTCTCGTTTTTCCAGACCTGGCGCTTGGATAGTATGGCTTCAGCATATGTTTGAAGTTCAGTCGCCAAATACAGCGCGTTGGCCTCGATGCAGAAATCAAACAGTGATTGCTTGGTCTCTCACGCAACTGATCTTCTCGTATCCACCGGGATTCGACTCGGTGATGTAGTAGCATTCGTTCATTGTGTTGTGACACTGTTTATTACATCAGCTTTGGAACACCAGATGATGGAGAGTACCTAGTACGCACAAAGGTATCGCAAGCGCAATTCCAACCCAAGAAACTCCCACGAAGGTAACAGAAGCCGCAATTTGTCCTCACGTTTCCTGCTGACCTGCAAGTCCGCCACTCGGTATCCGGTCGGTATTCCTGGGTCAGAGAGAATGCCACATCTGGGCTCTGATCCGCTGCGAAGGCCAAGGCATTCAAGAAGGCCAGAAGAACAGTGAATATGAGCAGCATGGCCGGAGTCGATGTTTGTTGTTGAGAAGGGCAATATGATTTCGTGAGGACAATTGCACGCAGAGCGGTCGCGTCTACAATAATAGTTTGAGGCAAGGCTCTTATGGGTTTGACGCTAGGATCTTGGTACGGCGCCACTACGCGTCTGGTCTGAGGCTATACCAAAGCAAAGAGCTTGGCGAGGAATGTGATCCACTACAGCAGAGCATCTGGGGAACATACATACATCGAATGTCTGGCAATTCCGACACCAATCAGTCCATCGCAATCACGCGACACACTCGTGCGTGATCGAACCCGGTATCCTCAACACGGAGTTGCAAGAAAGTCTACCAGATCAGGTACTACTGACACTGACTGAGGCTGACGCCACGGACTAGAGATGCCAAGTCCGCTGTGGACCCAAGTCCAAGACTTCGCTGCGCAATCCGCGGCGTTACGAAAACATGCCGACGAACACTTGGAAATGCATTGGCGACCGGCCGCCACTCGTTTACCTCCTGAGTAGGAAACGACTGTGATTCTCTCGCGCACTCCTCATACCAGACGACCCACCCCATACATTCGTTATTACTACTAAAGCCATCAGACATTTCCACCATACTCTCATAACAAGTTGGAGAAGGGTCGCGATGAGGACCCCAGTAACCCTCACGACATGTCTCCTCCTCCCCATATTGGCACGCGCCATTGAACTGAATCTGGACGATCCGCAATCGATTCGCGATGCCGCCAAAACTGCAGCGGAGAAGATGGTCGGCTGGTATTCTGGCAAAGCCTTCACCATACCCGGGCTGCTTCCTGGCCCGTATTACTGGTGGGAAGCAGGCGCCATGTTTGGGTCGTTGATTGATTATTGGTATTATACGGGAGATGAGAGTTATAATGCGATTGTTACAGAAGCGTTGCTTTTTCAGGTTAGTAATTGGGATTTTGTCCCATTTTCCTTTTCTTATTATTCGGGTGGGTGTGTGTGGGGGTTGTATTTGTTGTTATTGTTGGTGTGGACCTTTTTTGGGGCCTGTGAGGAAATTTGCAAGCACAAAAAGCAAAACAGAAAAAAATGATTTTGAAATCAGCATATATACTAAAAACATGCACGCAACAAAAATAGGTCGGTCCTGATGAGAATTTTATGCCTACGAATCAATCCAAATCCCTGGGAAATGATGATCAAGCTTTCTGGTATGCGAGAAACGAAAAAAAAAAAAACGAAAGAAAAGAAAAAGAAAAAAAAAGAGAAAGAAGGAATTCCGAACTGACCATGCATGCATATTCGATTTTCTTCGATTTAGGGGAATCGCCGCCATGAGTGCCGCAGAATTCAATTTTCCCAATCCTCCTTCCGACCAACCGCAATGGCTCGCACTCGCGCAAGCCGTCTTCAACTCGCAAGCTCCACGTTGGAATACGGATTCTTGCGGGGGAGGACTCAAGTGGCAGATTTTCACTTTTAATAATGGTTAGTTTGGTTTTTCTTTCTTTCTTCCTTCTTCTATCTCCTGAGCATGTATGATCATGTAAAATCGATTTATCCTTTGTGATACTACGGACCGTATCTCATTGACTTATACGCCAATCATTCAGGGTACAATTACAAAAACGCCATTTCAAATGGCTGTTTCCTCAACCTGGCTGCACGTCTAGGAATGTATACCGGCAACAGCACGTTCACCGAATGGGCGGATCGAACATGGGACTGGTCGAGCAGCATTGGGATGATCTCGCCCACATACTCCATCTACGACGGCTCCGACGACGCGCTCAACTGTCGCGAACTCAATCACATTCAGTGGTCGTACAACGCGGGAGTGTACTTGAATGCAGCTGCTACGATGTGGAACATCACCGCAGATGGCCCCGATGCGGGCAAGTGGAGGGAACGGACGCAGGGAATGTTGGATGGAATTCAGAGGACGTTTTTTAATGGGACGATAATGATTGAGGCTGCTTGTGAGATGAGCTGGAACTGCAATATTGATCAGCAGACCTTCAAGGCGTATCTGTCGAGGTGGATGGCTGCGAGTGTCAAGGTGGCGCCGTGGACGCATGATATTGTTATGCCGTTGTTGGTGAGTTGATCATCCTGGTGTACATGAATGCTGAATACCTGACTTTTGCTGACTCGGGTTTGTTGTACCGACAGGCTTCTTCCGCGATGGCTGCGGCGAGATCGGTATGTTGTTGTTGTTGTTGTTGTACCATTACCTGGATGTACAATGGTACTGACTCTTGCACAGTGTACTGGAGGTTCAGACAGTGTCACATGCGGTACTACATGGACCGGGGATGGATGGGACGGGGGTTTCGGAGTGGGGCAACAAATGAATGGTGAGTACCTGCCTACCCTAGTACGATGTTGCCATGTTGGGTCTGCCTCTTCTGGTCCTTCTGGAGACGTATGCTTACCTAAGGTGTGTTCGGGACATCAGCACTCGAGGTGATCCAGTCGAATCTCATTGATCAAGTGAGCGGACCAGTCGGGAATGGAACGGGAGCAACATCAGTCGGAGACCCGAACGCTGGCACGAGACTGTCGGATGCTCCCGAGGCACCTGATGGAATCACAGGCGCTGATAGGGCGGGAGCGGGCATCGTCACGGCGTTGGTGTTGCTTGGGATGATTGGTGGCTCGGTGTGGGTGGTTCAGTAGTAGGTACTTAATCTACTACCTAGGCAGGTGTGTCGGTAAACAGGTCTCGTCTCAGTGCAGGTGCGAACAACGAGCCATCGACGTGGAAGGAACGTCTGGCATAGGTACATGTAGTTCTTTCCTGCCTGGCTGCCCGACCAGCTGTCTCCCGGGATTAGGTAAGGTATAACCGCCAAGACCGTCACCGTTCACGATTCACGATCACGTCGTGTGAGAACGTGGAAGGCTGGAAGCAGTGGTGAGTGGTCCACCTATATAAGTTGTGCATCGTGACGGTCCGTGGCACCTTCCCGTCCTCCGTGACCCGTCGACGTTTGCAGTGGACATTACCTCCTAGATGTCAGGTAGCCATGTTACTACCAACTTACCTTACCTCCTACCAACTGCATGTAGGTACAGGTACTTGTGAATATCGTCAAAACATGCCATAATCATCATGGAGACCTGGATTACTCATTGGACCATGGCCCAGATGGTGGGCGGGAGGAGTTTCAAGTCACTTGCAAGCGCCGCAACTCCTATCCAACCACTTCGTTACCACCCGGAGTTAGTACAGTACTTCTACTGGACGCTCTACCTCGACCTCCTCTTACTTCAGCTCCAATCGCATCCTGGCGGCCACATGCTTCGTCCACTTTCAGCTGCTGCAACAACCACTAGTCTCTATGCTGCTAAAGTAGCGGCAATCGGATCCCGTAGCTCCACTTTCATGGGTGATTGTATTGACCCCCTTCCTTGTTGGTCTGGTCCCTTGGGTGCATCGTGTCGCATGCGGTGAAAGAGCAACGGTCGAATACCAGACAGTCTCTTATATAAGGTACATGTACTTCCATCTCCATGCTAGGAGGTACTGCGAACCCGTTTGGCGAAACAAGTTGCGTGCTGGCGAGGCGCAGCGGTATCGATTGCAAGTTCTACCACATCGAGCTAGTTCGAGCTGACCGCTTGGCTGTTGGCTGTACGACGACGACGACCAGTCAGTAGTCCCATCCCTCCCATATCCCAATCCCATGATGATTCCCATCCCAACCCATCATCAATCCTTCCGGCTCTCAACCTCCTCCTGCTGTTGGCGGCGGTGCTCTCGCGCTACACCGCTCTAGCTTTAAGCGGTGTCGGGCTCGTGGGCACTGCGCTGGCTGGCTTGCTGGCTGGCTGGCTAGGTGGCCTGCTGGAGCTGCTGGACCGACCTCACAACACAACACACGTCCCCGATATTGATCCTGAGCCGATGCTTATACATCCTGCTAGACTAGTTCCACGTCCATCGCCTCACGCCCATCGCCGGCTGTTGCTGTCGCTGTTGCTACGTACGCTGCGCCGGTCCACCCACACCCACACCCCACCCCACCCCTCCACCCCCCCC